AAAAAAAAAAAAAAAGGTTCACGGACGGATTAGAAATAAGAAATTGTTTCGTATAAAATAATTAGTAATGGAGTATCATTTTCCTTTTTTCGCCTCTCATTTCTTTTCTGTGTTGGGGGTCTTTCCAAGTTGAAAACCACTAGAGCACTACGAAAACGGTTAGGCCAAAAGTCTCGAACAAATCCTATTTTAATGCTCTCTCACAAAAGGATTAATCCTCACAAATCCATTAACCATTTGTTAACCATTTCTCCATTCAATGTCTGTCTACCACTTGTCAAACTTTGCCCTCTCATTTCTCCACTACTTAAACTCCTAAACACATTCAAAAGTCATTACAAACAAAAAATCACTTTAATTTCAACACTAGTTAAAAAAGAAAACAAAAATGGTTGGACAAGGAAGCGTGAAGTCAGCCGGAGTAAGGGCAGCACCACCACCCGGGCAGCCACATACCACCATCAAGGCGGCCGGGGTGGCGGCGTCGCCAATGGGGCAACAAGTTTCTGGGGCGGCTACCGCGGCAGCCGCCGGCAACCAGACATCTCCAAAGTTGCCTTCAGCAACCCACATGAACACTGAAGTACTTAACCAGACGCGTAAGATGCCGTTTTGCCCGGCGAAAGCCGCTATCGGCGGCTTCGCCGTGGCCATGACGCTTGCATATTTCACATTGTATAGCAAGAAAAAGCCCGAAGCAACTGCCATGGATGTTGCAAGAGTTGTCACCGGAACTTCTACAACAGAGCACACTCGTCCTCGTAATTAAAATAAATTTAAGTTATATACACAGATAGTGCTACGAAGTTTTACACTATCAGTATAATTTAAGTTTCTCAATAGGTAATATTATTGGTGTTACGTACTCAATTTCTTTATATTGCTAGCTTTTTGGCTAGGTTTGTCAGTTACGTTGCATGGTGACTGTTTTAAGATGTTTTTGCTTTTTTTTTTTTTTTCAATTTTTGTTTTAGGATACAATAATTCCCTTTGTATATCGTGCATGGCACGATTTATGATAGTGGATTTAGTGTTAATAAATAAAAAATAATGTTTGACCTTAGAATTGTTTATAATCGGTTCCATCTTTTCACGATCAAGTTTTCATCACTTATTACCATTTCTTGCAAATGTTTAAGTTCTGCTTCTATAATTAGTTGTAACTTGTAAATGTCCTTAGCGAAAGGGGAAAAATAGATCCCAATGGATGGCCAAAACAAGTTACAGAAACAACGATAAAGGGTACCGGCCTCTTGACCAATGACACAATTGCTTTAAAAATTAGATTTTAGATATTTAATTTGATAGAATATAAGGGTCCACCAAACTCTATAGAGAACCAGGTTCTTTATCAGTTCCACTAGAACACACGCACACTGCAGTAAGTAGATGACAAGAGAAATTTTACGTGGAAAATTTTCAGCTCAACGGGATTAAAAATCACAACCTACCCTTGTAGGATTTCAACTTCACTACTGAGCAACTTTTAGATTACAACCTATGCAACCTAGGAATTAACCTCTTAATCCCTCACTAACTTGTAATACTCTATTACAAGCCACTTTGTAATAACTCTATTACAAAGACTTTACAACTCGACTAACTCTAGCCAAGACTCAAACACAAAGGTTTAAGGTTTACAAAGAGTTTCCTACAGAATACTTCTGAACAAACTAAGTAGGAAATAAAATTTTAGAACTATTACAAAGTTACAACTCAACTAAGGACATACAATGACTTGCTGTGGGGAACTGGTCCGTAGTAGTATTATTCTTTGTTCTTGATGCACTTGAGAATTGATTGCTATATGGTTAATAACCGTGTGAGAGCTTCAATGATTTCTCTAAGTAAACGAGTGATTTGTTTTACCTTCCTTGATGTTAATAATGCATTTGTGACATCACTAGGATGATGTAAGCAAGGTAGGTAAAAGACACTCCCCATAAAGTTGACTGCTGCTCTGTTTCTGCACTGTAGCATGTGCAGGCAACAACTTTACAGCTGGGGCAGTTGACTTGTACTATTTCCTCGGGAAACAATAGTTATATGTTCCCTCTGTTGTTCCTCTGACTCTGAAGAGTTGAAGTATATTCCAAGCTGGAACCTTTCGATTTTAAGGTCTTGAGAATATGTAACTGGTTCCTTATCTGGTTCTTGACAGTAAGTTTGTTAGATCATCAAAACATAAACCAAGGTAGTTGTAACCTATCAATTTTCCCCTTTTTGATGATGACAAACTTATAATTGAAGATCCCAAAAAAAAAAATGCACAAAACCAGACAGTGCACCAGAAAAGCCTTAAGTTTCCCCCTGAGTCTGTATTCCCCCTTAATTAGTGCTGTGAACCAAAAAAGCCTTAAGTTTCCCCCTGAGTCTATATTCCCTCTTAATCAATGCTCATTATATTAATCAATTATGCACATTAATCTTTCCCCTTTTGGCATCATAAAAAGAATAGCAACAAGTATATAGCAAAAAGAAGTCTAGCTTGAGTTAACTCATGCCACTTGTGTGCACACAACATGACTAAAAATAAAGCATAAAGACAAGGCATAGTTAGCAAAAAGGGAAAAGCTTGCATTATCATTAATTTGGATTTTTCAATAGGAGCAGAGTCAATGTTACTACCACCATCCACAGTTTTGAACAAAAAACAACACCACAAATATCATCATAAAAAAAAACTGACCACTGAGGGAATAGACTGATCACTAAAGACTAGACACTGAAGGGACGCTGTTTAGGGAGCATTGGAAGGAGATGGCTTAGAAATGGCTTGGAGGACTAAATCCATTCGAGCATTTGCTGATATTTGCTCGTTGAGCAGTCTTTCTTTCAGGTCCTCCACTTGTTTCCTGAGCTCAACATTCTCTTTTATTAGACGAACAACCTCTTCTCCTTGAGAATAACTGGAACCAGGTGCCTCCTGCAGCTGACTTAACTGAGTCTCAAGGGTAGCATTCCTTGCTTTCAATTTCCTTATCTCTGAGGTAGCACTGTTCTGAGCATTAATCAGCTGAGATATGGTAGAAGTACTTCCAACCTCTCCAATTTTCTCGATACACTCACATTCTTCAAGAGTAGCTTTGGAGAAAGTTTGCTTCTTTGTGCCCACTTTAGCTTGGCCTAGAGGAACCTTGAAGTGTTTAAAGACCTTGGTGAGAAGGAACCCATACTGCAACCCATGATTACCATCTTTAAAGTCTGCCACTTTGTTCATGTGCTCTATCATAATCCCAGGCAGATTGATGGTAGCGAAGTTATCTAGTGCTTCCATGAGGAACATGTCTGCACGAGAGGTGATAGATATTCTCTCAGCTCGAGGCAAAAGTACCTTATTCACCATCTCAAACAACAGTTGGTATACAGGAAGGAGGGCCTTCTTCTGAACCCGTTCCCCTTGCTGAACTTCTATGTCCTTTAATATAGCATTTCTGAAATTTTGAGAATAGGATCCATGAACACTAGACAGCCCTTCAACAGGCACACCAAGAATGGACCCCAACAAGGTATAGTCCATCACCATATCAACTCCATTCACTAACACACAAATGTGATCATCTTTAATTTTAAAAAGGTCAGCATAGAAACTTTGAACTTCCTCTTCATACACCATTGGAGCATTATTCGTGAACAAATGTGTCCACTATTGGAACTCACAGATCTAAACCAGATGTCTCATACCAGCCTTCTCCAAGATATTAGGGGGAAATGTGCGGCCCTAGAGCACCTTTTGACTTCTTAACCTCTCTTTCCCAACACTCCTTAGATCACCCACTCTGGCCT